GGTACCACATGAAAGAAGGCATCAAAAAGGAGAGGGCCAACCCCTATTCATCCCTCAGGTCTTGAGTTAAATTTCACTTTCTACAGGCAGGACGTCTGGACAACTGGAGGCCAGCATAGGGCCCCTGCTCTGTGCTCCTAGAAGCCCCTTCCTCACCATCATTGTGTTCCTCACACCATATTGTAGTTGGACTCTCCTGTAGAGAGAGCAGCTGAATCCTCAGCACCCAGCACTATGTGAATGCAGCTAGGGCTCAGTAACCATGAGAACAGTTAGAATGAAGCCCTCATCCAGGCTCACAGCCCCCTTCACAAGGAGAGCAGCCAGTGCCTAAGAGGTGCACAGACCAAGGGTAAGTGAGCTCAAAAGCAGAAAAGGCAACTGCTGGCCTGTTTTTTTCAAAGAAGAATATTCACAGGGGCCCTGAAGAATTCAATCATGCCAGGGTGACCTGGGGGCATTGTAGGTGGGATGAGTAGCCATGTGAATAAAAGGCAGGACCCTTTAGGGCAGGTCCCACAACTGCCATTTGTCTGGACTATGGGCCCATGGAGGGCAGAGCAGATGGGGCATCTGCTCCCTGTGGGCAACCCCCATGGAGAAGAGAGAGGATGCGTTGTAGAATATCCAAAAAAGAAAACTGTAGAACTTTGCAGGGCTTTTAGAATTCCACAGCAAGAAATCCTTATGCCAACCCTACTTAAAATATTTCCTTCCGTTTTAATTTCTTTTCCTTTTGCTTTATTCTCAGAGGGCTAAAGTGAACTAATCACTATCCTCAGTAGAAGAAGGATTTGAGGCTTTAAAAACCATTTCAAGGTATCATGAGACAGCAAAACTGGCAGATTATCTAGGAAAGGAACAGCACAGGCCAGCAGTGTGTGCCGTGTGAAAACCTGAGACCAAGCCATGTCTCTGACCACCTGTGTGCTCAAATCCAGCACAGTTGCTCTCAGGAAGCCTATTATTATACCAAATTATTTCTAGTTGTCAGGCTGGAATAATACATTACATATATTTTAGGACCTAGGTCAGGAATGGCAAGTGAAAAGTAGACCCACAATGTTCCGGAGAGAAAATTAAAGTAAGAACAAATGTGATTCATGAAAAACTAAATTATCACTGCTCAGAACCCTTCAAATTACAGTGTATTTGGCATAGCTCAGAACAAAGAATAGAGAACAAAGAGTCGACCTAAATTAACATCTGTGCATGAAAGTGGCCGGGGAAAGGACTGTAGTTAGGATAGCATAGGGCTGACCTGCATTTGTTTTAGCAGCGACAGGGGTGTTTCGTAAATAGACTCCCAGCACAACTGACCCTGTGGTGTCAAAAGGCTCCTGGGCTTTAGCGGACCCTGGGGACAAGTGCAGGCAACAGTTCAGGAGCTTTGATATGACACGCTCTGCCCACTGCATTTTCCCACTCCCTTCCACAGCTCATTATCTGGGAGAAATGCTAAAAGGGAGACACTGATGTGGGAAATGCCAACCACAAAGGACACAGATACTGTTGTGATCCCTTGGTGGCCCACAGGAGAAGGAGCAGTTGATCCAGTTCCTCCGCTGAGAATGCCACATCCTCCCACCTACCGCCTTTCACTAGCCTTCTATTCACCAGCTATTTCCGCCTCAAAAATTATTTTTAACTTTTCACCTTTTCTCAAGGTCGCTCAAGAGCACCCTCGGAAGGGACATGGCAGGAGCACTCACACCCCACACTCCAGCCCTGCAGAGGCTTGACCTGAGCCTGGAAACTTCCTATCAAACATCACCAATTGCTTCTCAATTACCCAGCTGCTCTGCCCAGAGCCAGTGCCGTTAATCAAGGCTCCTGTACACAGAAGCAGGTACCCAAGGACCCCTGGGGAAAGCTGCTCTTGGTGATGAGAAAGAAGCATGTAGGAGTGACCTGCAGCCCCTAGGCATCCCTGAGGTCAGACCATGCAGGGCGCAGCCACGCCTCCCCACAGGGGGCAGATGGCAAAGGACCACAGAGGGGAGTGCTCACACTCCACCCCCTCCCCCAACACCCTGCCCTCTTAACCACCCATTTTTGCTGGTGGACAATCTGTATTGCTATTTGATGCCAATCTCCACCAGAACTCACCCGGTGCTCCCTAGCACAAAAGGAATGGAGTTAAGGAGCTGTGTTGTAGATGCTCGCACCTCCCTTAGACCACAGAAACCTCCTCTGCACCCAAGTATCATTGACCTGGCCTGGATTCTCCACACTAGTTCCCAAAAAAGGTGGCATACTTCCCAGGAGAGGTGCTTCCTAGAAGGTCACAGGGAAGCAGGTGGGATGCTAGGTTACAGAATTAGCCTGCTGATCTGATCATTAAGAACAGAGGGTTTGGAATGAGCAGTTTTAAGTTAGAGACTTTTTATAAGCTGTGTAACTTCAGGTTCTAGTCTGGAAATGCTGAAGGATATTGGTTAAGTGGTGTACTGGGTGACTGGGGACAGGGGAGGCAACACACACAAGCAAATCCCCAGCTGCCCAGTAACCAGAGGAATGCACTTAAAATGTGCATGGGGGTTAGAGATGTATTTCTTACCGAAAGCCTACAGAAATGCCAAATCTAATTCTCCTTACCACCAAGGAGAATTAGATTCCCACCCCCCACAGGGAAAGGGGAGTATGAGGGACAGACAGCTGCCTGAAGTCCAGCCCCCTGGAGGAAGTAATGTCTTTCTAGGAGGGAGGTGGGATTCTTGGGGGTCAAGGTTTACAGATGCACCATTCTACCCTTTTAGGAACCAGTCAGGAGCTGGAGATACAACTCAGTGGTAAAGCACTTGTCTAGCATTTATGAGGCCCTAGGTTCTATCTCTAGCACCAGAGGAGGAAAGAATGAATCAAAGGATTTTTAAAAAGATGTTCTATGAATGGGAAATGTTTACCCGTGAAAACAGTGCTGGGCACATAAGAAAATGTTCTCAATAGAATCTACTATACAAAATTCAGTGTTCTAAATAAAGATATTTCTTTTTCACCACTGGGTTTTCAAAATTCATACCTACATTTCAAAATTGTTCTTACACATGTTTAGAATAAGTTATATTACTGTTTAAGTTTTTGATTTACCAGGTATTTTCAGAAACTTGTCTACTGAACACACATTGAAGTTTGTTAAAGTGCTGGATTATATATACCTCCTCCTACCTCTGTAAGCTTCCTTTAGGCTCCACTCTGAGAGTCACTGTGACATTTAGATCAAAATTAAAACACGCAAAGGGAAGCATTTTGAAAACTATAATTTATAACTGCAATTATAAATTATTAAACAACAGCTAAATTCTATATCTATATATGGGAGCAGTACTGGAGATTGAATCCAAGGAGCACTGAGTTACATTCCCAACATATTTTTATTTTGAAAAAAATAACAGGATCTTCCTAAGTTGCCCAGGCTGATCTTGAACTTCCGTTTTTTCTTTAATTTTCATTAGTGTAGGTGTACAGTATATAATGATGACATTCTTCGTGAGGAATTGGTACTTGTATTTAACACATCTAAATTATTTTTATGTTCCTTTCCACTCCTCTCCCTCTCCCTTCCCTCCATGACTTGGTGGTCTCAAATTCTCAATCCTCTTGCCTCAGGCTCCCAAGTAATTGGGATTACAGGTGTGCCACCACGCCTGGCAGATAGTATAAATATTAAGTTTTAGAGCAGGTAGTGTAGGATTTGCTTCAGAACAATGGAAGGAGGAATAAATGAATCAAGGTTGGTTGTAAGTTGGTCATTTTTGAAATTGGATGATGTGTATAATAATTATACCATTTGCTCTTGTATATGTTTGAAGTTCTTTCTTTATGTCAAAAATAATACAATCTATGTGGGGCCTTGGCCTGTGAAACACAATCCCTCATCTCTGGGCGCTTTCTATGCCCCGCACCAGGGCCTCAGGCAGAAACGGGTCTGTCCCGCTCCCACCTCCTAACCCGCTCCACTCCTTCTCATGTTCCCCAAATCTTCACGTTCCCGGGTGTCTCGGGAGCACTGAGAGCAAGGACGTGGAACCATACCGAACGCTGAGGCAGCAGAGCTAGGGACCGAGCCAGAAAGCCCTGGGCACTTTCCCAGAAGATCGGGGGCGGGAGGAGGGGAGGTTCTCTCTGACCCCTGCAGCAAGAGCTCTCAGAGAACCCGACCTTGGTCCACAGACACTCTTAACCCGCCCCCACTCTCCACCCCTAACCTTTCCTCCCTCCTCCCTGCTGCCAAAATACCAGGACTCTGGGAGAGGTTCCTGGGTTTCGGACGTTCAGGGAAGGCGGCTGGAGCTGAATTTCAGCCACCCTGGGCGCCGTGGGAGGAGTGGAGTGACCGGGCCTCGAGGGGCTCTTCCAGCGTAGACAGACGTGGAGTGGGGAGCACAGCAAGAAAGCGGAGGGGCCCTGGCCTTCCAGGAGGGATACTTCGGAGTGCCAGAGATCTGGCTTTCACCACTCACCAAGTGGGGAGTTGGATGGGTGCTGGCGCCTGGGAAGCTGCACCGAGCTGGGGTTGTGGGTGCAGAAAACCCAAGCCAATGGCCCGGGGACGCGAACAGAGAAGACCCAAACCTGGGGGGACTGCGAGGCCCTAGATCCCTTGTTGCACCGACTAGGTTGTGGACTTGGCCATCCATTCCCCCAGCCGCCCGGGTCCCGACCACCTGCCTGGAATCCCTGTCCTTCCCTTCCTTCCCGCTCTGGTCCCCAAGCTGTCCATCCGGGGGTTCCCCAGAAGCTCCTCCTCCACCGGGCTCCCACGTCTTTCCTCCCTTCATCTGTCCCTCAGGTCCCTTTTAGGGGCGACGCGTTCTTGGACTCCACTTTTCCCACACGATAAAGGGTAGTTGGTTGGCACCGGGCGTCTCCCCCGCGAGGGTGCGCGCTCCTGACCCCGGACTGACAGCCCTGCACGGACTTCGAGTTCTGCGAATCGAGAGCTTTGGCTTGGTCCCAGTCCCACTGTGCGCGGCTCCCGGCTGCCCGGTAAGACTCACCATCGCGGCCGCTGTCCTCGCCCGCTCGTCTCGCTCGTGGGCCTGCCCGCCCCGACTGCTCCAGATACCGCCGCCTGCGCGGTTGTGACACGCTGGGCCGGAGGGGACCGGGGACAGACGTGCCAGGCCAGCAGCTGCCGGGCAGCATCACAGTGCCCAGGAGGGGAGGGACCTGGGCGAGTCACAGTGGCACTTCCCCGCCCACCGGCGCCCAGAGCTCCGGGGCCAGCTGCAGTCCACCGGGCTGCGAGGACCCGACCGGCTCCTCTGGTCCCTCACGCTGGACGTTGCGCAGTTGGGTTCCAGGGCGCCCCGCGGGGGAGGCAGTCCGATTCCCACAGCGCAAAGTGTACTTTGTCCGCATCGAGGAGAGCGCTCTGTCAGGTCAGCCTTTGTAACAAATCCAGCTGCCCAGGAAAGCAATGTAAAAATTCTACTGGACCAAAATTCTAGGAGGCATTTCCCCCAAACCCTCATTCTCTTCCTGCGCGACGCGGCGCTCACGGGTTCTGCTGCTTGTGTTCAGTGTGCACCGGGGCAGGTCGTTGCGCTCTGCCGGGGAAGCCCGCTTCCGCCCCACCGACGCCCACCTGGTTAGTGGAGTCTCAAGTAGGAGGACACACATAAAGCCGTACCCAGCAGGTGCTTGGTAATGTACCTGCTCCTGCTTTGCCTACTCTCCCAGTGCACCTCCTTCTTCACTACTTCCAGCTCTCTCCCTTTGCTCCATTCCTGCTTGATTCCTTCCAACTTTTAAGTCTCAAATGTGCAAATGTCACCTTTCCTTTGTACCAAACTACTATCAGGTTGCAGCTGCCTCTTTGCCCAGTAGTTGGACCTCTTCTTTCACAGATGGTGGTGAAAGACAAGGAAATTCCTTTCTGCCCTCTAGTTGGGCAGGGATGGCAGGAAGAAGTCCTGGCCTCTGTAGAACCTGTTGGCCACATTATCAGATCTGCTCTCATTTCCCCTTGCCTTCCCCCAAACTCCCCACCATGGAAAAAGTTGTAACCCAGCTTCCGACTTCTCCCATTTTTCTCAGGCAGCTATCAACCACCAGCTGCTTAAACCAGATGTGGTGACACCCTGTATTTATTTCTCTTCCAAACTCCAACACTGTTACTTCTTCCATGGCATTTATCACTTTCTACTTTGGAATATGGGCATGTGTGTGTGTGTGTGTGTGTGTGTGTGTGTGTGTGTGTGTGTGTACACTCCTACGCAACCACAGCCCTCCTTGCCAGAAGTCCCTGGTTAAGTGTATCAGAGGTAGTCAATAAGCATTACTGAGGAAGCTGATTTTTCAAGTTCTCTTTGTAAACCCGCAAATATATTATGAACAGGTTCTTAATGTCTTGGGATAAAGTTGATGATACTAGAAATGATGAGAACATTCAATTGCATTTCAGTATGATGAGAGCACGAACCATCACATTTTTCTCATTATGTGATTTTGTTGTTGTTGTTGTTACTTGGGATCTTGTGCTTTTGAGGCAGGCGCTGGAACCACTGAGCTAAATCCTGGGCCCTCTCATTATGTGATTTGAAGGAGTCATGGTTACACCTTAAATGCCAACTCAGCACTTTTGGTTCCAGGAGATAAAGAAAAGGTTGGCTGTTATATATCAAATTGTGTCCCTTCCCACCCCAAACTTACATGTTGAAGCCCCCAAGATGACTGAATTTGAGGATGGGACCCTTAAGATTTAAGTGAGAAAAAAACCCAAACCAAGACAAAACCAAACCAAAAAAAGATTTAAGTGAGAAAGATATTAAGGTTGAATGAGGTCATAAGGTTGGGGCCCTGATCCAATAGGATTAGCGACCTTGTGACACCAGGGGTGTGCTCCCACTGAGGAAATGCCATTTGCACACATAGGAAAGAGGTTTTGAAAGAAGACCTGCCTGAACCTTCATCTTAGACTTCTAGCCTCCAGAACCATGAGAAAATAAATTTCTGTTTTTTAAACTGCACAGTCTGTGGTATTTGGCTATGGCAACCATACAGACTAAGACAGTGACCTTAGGAAAAACTGTGCAGCTCTTTTTACTTATGGCCTCTCTCTTAAAATTTCTTGACTTGGGACACTCCAGATCTGCTATTGATACTTCCCCCACCCACCACCCTATGTTTTCCTCCCAGAGTAGAAGTTTGGAAAGACAAAAGGATATATAATTTAGCCCCTACGATGTGAGGCACAGGATCTCCAGACATTGGTCAAACATTCTTCTACATATGTCTATAAAGGAGTTTCTGGATGAGATTAACATTTGAATCAGTAGACAACATTAATAGATCATCGTCCTTAATGTAGATGGGTTTCATCCAATCAAGTGAAGAACAGAACAGAACAAAGTTTAGTAATAGGGGGCTTCTGCCTGCCTGGCTGTTTAAGCCAGGACTCTGGTCTCCTCCTGCCTTTTGGATCGGAATTTATGCTACCAGCTCACCTGAGCCTCCATTCCTCCAACTGCAGATCTTTGGGCTTCTCAGCTTCCATAATTACATGAGTCAGTTCCTCATAATAAATCTCTGTATGGCTAGTAGTGTAGCTCAGGGTTAGAGCACATCCCTAGCATGTGCGAAGCCCTGGATTCAATCTCCAGCACTGTAAAAAGAAATAAAAATTAATCTCTAGATCTACCTGTATTTCTCCCAAAATAAGATGGGTTTTTTTTAAGTGAGCCAAAATTTGTATTCATTCATTCCTTGCATTTGAAGTATTCTTCAATGACATGCATAGCCTGAGGTTCTTTGCCATAAACCTTAACCACCACACAGCTGCAACCAACCACTTTACAGGGTTTTCCTCTTGGTCAATGGCCTACTCATTCCCCTAGTTTCTTCTTGTCATCAATCTTAATTAGGTTGATTTGGTGCTCAGCACAAAGGGCCTCCACTAACTTTACGTACTTAGGCTCATCACAGTTGGAGACAAGCGCACAAAGATGGCTCCAGAAGCTTTGTGAATCCCACATGGGCCATCGCGGATGAGGGCAGTCTTCAGCACCTTTTGTAAAGCAGTATTGATGACCATTACACCTCCAAAAGCAGGGCCAGGGATTTAGCTCAGTGGTGCCGCCACCTGCCTTGCAAGTGCAAGGTCCTGAGTTTGATCCGTGGTATCAAAAACAAACAAACAAACAAACAAAAACCACCTTCAAGAGTAATGCCGGTGCAGCCACATCTTGAACACAACTGAGCCTCTCCCTCCCTGTAACTCAGGAGCGGAGGGAAAAGAGAAGACTGGGTTTTATATTAATTTTTGCTCCAAAAAAGGTAAAAGGGCTTATTTTCAGGGGATGTCTTATTCTTTCTTACACAGCAGTCTACACATATTCATATACAATAATCTACATTTATTTATTTATTTATTCATGTACAAAAATCTACATTTATTCAAGACAGTCATGTCGTCTTCTTCTGGAACATATTCATAACTCTCCAGATCCTGAATTCCAGCCTGACTTTCTTGCAACTCCACTTCCTGTAGAGCCACAGGCTCCAATCTCTCACATCCAGCGATAGAGCTCTCCTCAAATGAGCACTGCTTGTCCATGTGGCCTGCTCATAGTGCATTCGCAGCACAGCTGTCAGTGACTTTATCCCATGAATTCTTCACCCAAGTTACAACTTCTTGCAGGCTGGGCTTCACAATGTTTCCATAAATCATGTGTCCACTGAAGACTTATGAGACAGGAGTGGCAACAAAATGATGACAGTTAAGAATGATGGTCCCCACAAAAGTGATGAAAAATTGCAGGCACCACAATTCAGAAAACGTTTCTTTATTTCCTATGAGTGCAGTATGCCCATTACAATACCCAACGTATTGAATTAGGAAGATTCATACAAGTTCCTCTGTTTACATAGGCATTTGCCTCTTGTCCAAAAAGCTTGGGGATTTACAAATACTTATAACTTATATTATCATTTAAGTATTAATGTCAATAATATTATTTATTTATATTTAATTACATATTATTATTTTATAATTTAATACATTTGTCATGTGTAGCAATGGATGTACTAAATGTGTCCATCTAGCTGACCATCTTAACTGGGGCTTATTTGGGGGTGGGGCTTATTTTGGGGGTAGGGCTTATATTGCAAGCATCCTCAAAAATCATGCTAGGACTTTATTTTCTGATTAGGTCTTATGTGGGGGCAAATACAGTAGATAAATAGATAATAGGAAGATATCTCTTGTTAGTTGTTTCTCTGGAGAACCCTTTTTTGCAGATGGAAAACTGAAGTCAAGTCCAAGCTGATTATGAAAAAGCAGCCACCCATACCATGTTTTAAAGGCCTTTGCCACACACCTGTAATCCTAGCACTTGGAAGGCTGAGGCAGGAGGATAGCTGCAAATTCGAGGCTAGCTTGTGCTAAATAGTAAGTGCAAGGCCAGCCTGAACTGTACAGAGACCCTGTGTCAAAAAATAAGAAAGAGAAAGAAAGAAAGAAAGAAAGAAAGAAAGAAAGGCCTTTTAAAGAAATTACCTCTTCCAAATTCGTTAGTATACGTGAGTATATTTCCTCATGCATGAATTTTTGTTCAGTGGGATTATACTATCAAATAATTACACTGACGATCCAAAAAGTTGAGTCAGCAAGGTCCCATGTTCAATCCCCAGTAACAAAAAACAAAAACAAAAACAAAAAGTTGAGTCATATTCATCTGAAGAGGAAGTAAGCTACTTATTACCGATCAACCAAGAAAAGAGTTCGTCTTTGTGACATGTGTTATGACAGTTAAGCTTAATTTTCCACTTACATAGCTTGGGAGCCACACAGAGGATTAGTAAAGCATACTGTGTGTGTGTCTGGATGGGTCTCAGAGGTGTGACCTTGGGTACTATACCTGGTCCCTTGCCCCTTCTTCTTGGGTGCAATTCCCCAGCTCCTCTTCCTGACCTTCATGAACTAAGCAGCTTTGCTCCACTATGCCCCCTCACATGATGTTTCTGCCTTGGAGCCAGCTGATCAGGGACTGAATCCTCTAAAACTGTGAGCCAAATGACTTCTCCTCCTTTAAATTGTGGGCATCAGGTAGTTTGTTCCAGTGATGGGAACGCTAACTAATATATTTATATATT